AATGTGGATTACGTACGCTATGGTAAGTAGTAGTAATAGTTAGATAATAAATGAAAATAAGATGTAGAGCAATGTAATCATGAAAATGTGGACTACGTACGTCAAGATAAACTTTTCCCCCGTTGCGGACTTAGCCATATGGGCACATGTATCTCCACTTGATCGTAGTTGGTAGTGGAGGAAATTGAATTCCCTAAAAGTTGAAATGATGGAGTGGTACCATAAGGGAAATATGCGTTAATTGCTTAACGAAAATATATTCAATAAATGGTAGCTACATTGCTCTACAAGGGGATTTGACCAGACTACAAGTGACAGAGTTAATATGGACCTCTATTATGCAGCCGAAACACAATATGATTCTTTGGTTAGGTGCTCATGGTCGACTGCTTACAAAAGATAGACTTTTGAAACTCATGTGCTAGTAAATGTTGTTTATGTATGATATGGTTGCTGAAACCCAAGACCACATGTTTCAGGATTGTCGATGGACAACAGTATTGAGGGTTGCGATCCAGAACTGAACTGATATGACAATACCATGAGGGAATGTAATGCACGTGCTGGAAAAGATTAAAAGAAAGCACTGAAAGTTATTCAAAAAGGAAATAGCTGCAGCAATTTGGAGGGGCCTGATCTATCACACATGGAAAACCAGTAATGGAAAAGTTTTTAAAGGAATCAATGTAAATACTAGCTTGTGATGACACGGATACAAAAGGAATTTAGAGATAGAATAAATATACACAGGAACTCTAGGAAAGTCAGAAGATGCGATTATTTGCTATAGAAACTTTGTAATTACTGATTGACTAAAGGCCTATAAGTGCATTGCACCCTTCCTAAAAGGTGGTAGTGTGTCTAGGTGCTCTTTAGGATGTATTAGTTTGGTTGTTAAATGGTAATATTTCACAATTATTACTAAAATAAAATGAAAATAAGATCATCGAAACTTTATCAATTCATTTTCGAGTATCCAAGTATATTAATATTTCGAACCAAATAAACTCTAAAGTTTTATAAGTATAGGAAAATTTGTATAAAGATATTCACTTTAGTAACTAAGTGAATATAATATGCTATACTTGTTTGGTGAAAACTCTTTCAAATGGAAAAAATAATTGGTTGGATGACTCATATCAACTCCTAACAATTGGTAATATGGTTGAATTTAGTTCTGAGTTATATGATCTTCCTGCTGAAGTTTGCTGCAATATTAGTTACTAGTTCTGATTAGGTTCTGTCCTTGCACTGTGGTGTTTGTAAAATAAAACTAGAGAATGAGCATTAACCTATTGAGGCATTCATGTATGAAAGTTACAATTTAAATCTGATAGCTATCAGGTGGCTTGGCTGTCGCCAAACGTTCTTTTATCAATTGATATTCAGTCTTACAGATTCCTTCAACATTCGAGTTGAAACATGATATTTAGCTTAATATATATA